GGCAAAATTCCGGTTCGCTGGACGGCTCCTGAAGCGATCGCGTTCAGGAAGTTCACGAGCGCCTCTGACGTGTGGAGTCTCGGCATTGTGATGTGGGAGGTGATGAGCTACGGCGAGCGGCCCTACTGGAACTGGAGCAACCAGGACGTCATCAAGAGCATAGAGAAGGTCTGATCTTGTAATTAAATATTAAAAAATGGGTATTAAATCCTTGATTAATCTTCATAGATAGAGCTGCAACAGATTAAAAACATTAATAATGATTAAAATATCAGTAAAAAGCACAAAGACGTTACCGTTTAATGGTTGTCCGTATTGTTTTTAATTTTCTTACTGTTAAATACATATTGATTGATTTGTCAGTCTAAGCAAATTTCTGCTAAAAATAAAATAAACGCCTGAAAATGCGTTGAAAAGCGCCAGTAACTAAGGTCTTGTTTCGTATTTGGGTCATAAACATCGAGAAATTAACCTGTGGAATGATGGAAACAAATTATGATCTTATCTCAGAAAGTTTCAGTTAGGATTCGTTATTTACCTATGAAAATGCTCGAAATGTAAAATAATAATAATAAATGTAAAATTATGCTAAGAATATCGGTCTGTCAACTTTAGTGTCGCTCTGCTGCACAGTGCACACATGCCTCAGTTCACGATCACTCTACTCGTTTTTATTGACGAAGTGCCTCGGCGTGACTACACCTCCATGTCGTGTGCAGGGCTACCGCCTACCCGCCCCGATGGAATGTCCTGAGGCGATCTATCAATTGATGCTCGACTGCTGGCAGAAAGAACGCAATCATCGTCCGTCCTTCGCGTCCATCGTCCACACTCTCGACAACCTCATTAGAACACCTGAAGCTTTGGCCAAAGTCGCCCAAAACAGGTTTGTCCAAAATAATGTCTGCATACATTCGTTTGTAACTGTTATATATTGTACCAATCTTGGCAATTATTTTGATGGTGTTCGTTCGTTTTGATATTAATCGACAATATTCTCTGAACAAGTCATCGAATCGCTGTGTTTACACCGAGTAAGAAAAATGTTCTGATGGCTATTATTTCATCGGTCTACCAGCATCTGCTGCGGACACCAATGAAACCAGCGAACTGTACTAACATTTTATATTTTCAATGCCTATTGAATTGGAGGAGGCATAGAAACTTTTCGATCCGTAACTATATCAATCTCGAGCTCTCTATTGATTGTCGGGTAACTTTTTATTTATTTGTTTTATTTATTTGTTTTATTTATTTGTTTTTATTGTTTATTTTATGTGGTTTCTGTTGCATTGGTTATTTTTGCGGGTGTTTGGTGATGATTTCATGCTATTGAAGTACAAATTTTTTGGGTCTGTTGTGGGGTCATCTCATCCATGTCTATGATTCTCGTTGAATACTTGGATGTACTTACTTAAGTTTGTAGGATTTGGTACTAATGCATTGTCAGTTATGTATTCGTATCGTATTTAGTCAATGCAATGTTTACTGCTCAACTTTTAGTAATGTTCTAACAAATGTATTTGTAATGTTACTTATGGGAAAATGCTTTCCAGTCAAAAATCCAAGTCCACATACTTGCAATGGAAAAAACACCATAATGAGCCTGATCTTCATGCACCGGCTTGCCAAAAATTTAAATTCCTTGACTATCTCAACATGGAGCAATTAAATTCTCAATTGATTTTACGTTAACGTTCCCGTTACAAATCTGGCCCCTGATTCGGAACACCATGGTTTTCAGCATCTTGTCGTGACTCTAAATATTGCTTCTTGCATTGAAATGCTCTTATTCCTTGCATCAGAAGTAAATATTGCCATCCCGTGGCCATGGTTGTGGTCAAATTGACGCCTGGTAATATTGGTTGTCTGGTGGGCAGGCGTCCGGCTGCACAAAACCCTTACTACACGCCCGTTATGTTGTTCAATAACGCCACCAATCCGTGGCAGCAACCGTAAACTCTAAAGATGACGAGCGCAGGGCGGGCAGGCAGGTAATCGCTTTGCATTTACGTCACTGCAACAAGCGTTGTCGCTCTTGCATTTATGTTGTCGCACCTTGCATCTTTCGTTCGTGTTTGTGTTACAAAAATTTCTCCTTCCGCATTCTTTTGTCGCCATCATGCCATTCTATGTTCGCATTTGTTTCGCGATATCATGCGCTATGCCATACATGACGTTTTTACCTTTCATTCTCTATATTCTTCCATGCACTCGTTTAACATTTTTATGACATCTTACATCGTTTTTGCCATTTATTTCTCGCTCATTTCTTCTAAACCTCTTTCAGCCGTTTTTGCGTAACCACCACTTCACTGCTACACGAGTTTTCTTTGCGGACCGTTTCTTAATTTTGTTGTTTTTCAATGGCGTAAAATGTTTGTCGCATCAGATTTCGCTTACTGGCTGCCACTAATTATGCTGCTTTTCGTTCTCTTTTATGATTCTGTTTTATTTACCTCGATTTCATTCCCATTCCATGTTTCTTTGTTGCTATTCATTCCTGTTTTAAATAGAAATTATTATGTGATTTTGAAGCGTGTTGATTTCATAATGTTTACTGTTCAACACGGAATTATTAAAGATCACCTCCATTTATCTAGCTTATTTTTCCACACATCCTTCCCTGATGCTGGTAACTTGATTCAAACCTAACATGACATTCTTCTCGAAGTTCGACTAGAGCGCACAATGATTTGTTATTCAATAACCCCATTCTATTATGATCTTGCATTTCTGCAGTTGCTTTTATGAATCCCTACACGAATTTTGGCAGTTGAAAAATTATTTGCATTAACATCCCTCTTTTTTATCCCCTATTTCGTTCCAAAATGTAGTTGAATTTCTAGTTGAAATTTTCAATTCATTGATTTTAATCATTCATCGCTTTCCAAGTATTGAATTTAAATCTACGTGTCCGCTCTGCCCTGGTCATCTTTAATTTAGCAAATGTTACTGACGAATCCGTTCCAAGAATTTATCTGTGCATATGTGCCATTCGTTTACCATAAATTACTGTGTATTCAATGAAGAACATCACACTCATGGTATCTTAAGCGACTCTTCGCCCTCAACTGTTTGTTACGTTGTTGAGCTTCGGTTCTTCAGCGATTTGAATTGCTTTTCTTGCATATGTGTGTCTTGGAAATTTTTTTAGTATTGCGTTTCTAATTTTTATTACATCATACTATCTGTGAGTTGATGTTTCCCTATTCGTGCGTAATTCATTGAAGTGATAGCGAGTCATTGAATTCTTAGTTGATATTTCTTCCAGTGAATTTTGATCAAATTCAACTTGCGCAGTTTTTGAACTGCACGATAAGCTGTAATAGCTGTCTTTTCATATTTAAGTGTGATGTTCTATCTTCAAATTTGCGGTATTGCCAATCATCTCCACTCTTTTAATTGAATTGGAAGAACAACTCTATTACAATGAACATTGCATTGTAACGTTAACCGCAAAATTATAGAATTAATTGCTCAGGTTTTTATTTAAGTTACTGTACATTTGGCATTGAGCAATGTAGTAATAAAAGAAAAATGAACAATACTAAATTAGTATCATTGTCGTGCGTGCTGACAAATAGCGAGGTTGAGTAAAATTTAATTTTACCCAAGTTAAAAAATAAAAATATCTCCCGCAAAATCAGTGGGAGTGCATGTTCAACTCCTTAGTGCATGTTCAACGTCGTGTTGTCTTAACCTATTTGTGACACTGCCTGTGATATAATATTTTCCTATTTGATCTGATGAGCAGGCCAAATATCGAAAATGATATTTGGACTTAACAACAATGTAATTGAAATAAAGCTTGAAAAAGCTTTTTTCTACTGTAATTGTTTTTAAGAAGTCGTACAAATAAATTGAATGTCCGAGCAACCTAGTAATACTTCAATTTGAATATAGTTATCATTTAGTATGCTGGTTGGCTGAAGGTGCCGCTGTTTTGTTAATGGTGTGCGCCCAGTGCGGTCAGACGGAGCTTTGTTTCTGGACCTAATATTGCTTTCGCTATTATTTCTTAGTGCACATCTTGATGTATTAATTGAATTCTCATTCATTCTCAATTTAATATGTAATTTCCTAAACTGCTTGTTGATAATTGGTGGGTTAATTATTTATATATACAATATGACTTATTTCATATTATAAACTGATTATTTTTTTGTGTCTTCGTAATTTCTAAACTCGTATTTACGACTGCATGCTTCCGTTTGACGTCGTCTATAGACCGTACATAAATAACCTTATAAAGCCCGCATTCTGTTCACTAATAACTCGTACAATTCGTGACGTCCTTTTTGACTTTAGCCGTATTGGTATATTTGACTTTTATGTAGCGAATAAAGTTTTTGGTTTAGAAGTACACAAAGCGTATCTGAGCTATCAATTTAGCCAGCTGATAAATATACTATCATTTATGGGACTAACTAACATCATTGCTCGTTTACAGATGCCAGACCGCTCTTGGTCTGGACTCTACAGACCTGACCCAGCTGGGCTCGGTTGAGGAGTGGCTGTCATCACTGAAAATGTCGCGGTATCTCGAGAACTTCGAGAGCGCCGGACTGTCAGACGTGCAGTCGGTGGCGCGTCTCAACCAACGCGACCTAACCACTCTCGGCATAACGCTCGTCGGTCATCAAAAGAAAATATTACAAAGTATTCAAACCTTACGAACGCAGCTTGCCGTCAGTATGGCTGAAGGATTCTTAGTTTAATAAGCTCACTCATTATAGATCTTTTCTAATCTCCGCTATGCGGGTTTCCGTATTATCTTTGCAACGTCTTCATCACGCACTAAGTTGCTTCTGTATAATTTTTTCCCCTTCCATATCCTTTTCTTTGTATGTTAAATTCTGCCTGGAACACTTGTTGAAAAAGGTGTGTGAAGTGTGTGAAATTATCGGAAAACTTGATTTCTTTAAAATATTTCATATTTTAATAATTTCATTGTTCGTTCATAGAAAGACGTCGATTAATTATTTGTGGTATAGTTGTGGTTAGAATTTATTTAATTCGAGCTGATTTTGTGCTATTGAATATAAGTCAGTTTATGTCATTTGATCAAATTAGTTTTCTCATAATTTTTGTAGAATATTTCAAAATTATATTTCGCA